AGTGTATAAGTTATACATTTATAAAATATATATATATATATCCGATCGTTCAGTTTGTATGGCAGCTATATGCTATAGTAATCGGATCTGAATAATTTCTTCGGAGATTACATTGTCGCCTTAGACAATAATCCATGCCTCATTTTGTGAAGATACACCGTCAAATGAAAAAGTTTTCCATGCAAGCACGTAACGCCGATCGTTCAGTTAATATATCAGCTATATGCTTTAGTGATCCGATCTGAACAATTTCTTCAAAGATAACATTGTTGCCATTCCAACAAATGAGGAGAGAACAGGTGCAACATTTTATATCGATAGCTTGAAAACTGAGGGACTAGTTCGCATATATACAGACAGACAGACGGACAAACGGACGGACGGATAGACAGACGGACATGGCTAAATCAAAACAAAGCTCATCATGCTGATCATTTATATATACATTTCATAGGGTCTCCGACATTTCCTTCCGGGGGATACAAACTTTGTGGCAAACTTAATATACGCTGTACAGGGTTTAAAAATATGTTCTTGAATATACTTCAGCAATATCAAAACTTATGTAAAATCAGCACAGATCTTTACTGCCCTATATAATGGTTTTCGAATCACCACCAGTCTTTAAACCATTTAGGTTGGGCAAAATGTTTGCTATTTTAATAAATTTAAGTGGAAAACTTTTCTTAAAAATTATCTGCTTAGCGCAGAGTATGAATGGAATTGGTTTGGACCTTTGTCCAAACCTCATGTCCTTAATAAAATCAATTCCAATCCTCTAGATGACGTTTTGCATATCAACTCAATGTATTAAATTTAGCCTTTTCGGTTGAGTTTATGTCATATATATCTTATTTGAAGACGATTTTAATATAATTTTTGCTGACGGGAAGTAAAATATAGTAACAAAATTAATTTAATCTATGACCAATAATATTAGGGAATAAGATAAAAATTTGATTGTAATTTATTCATGATTCCGTCGAAAAATAAATGCTGAATTCTTTCGCAACATTTTTAAATTAAAATTTTGCCAACACCTGGAAGTATTTCGCCGGTCTTCAGTTACTTGTTTAATATATTGCTCACTTGTTTAATATAAAGTTTTGCCAACACCCGAAGGTATTTCCCTGGTGTAGAGGCTTGCAAATTGCGAGACTATAAGTATAAAATGTTCGGTTACACCCGAACTTATCCCATCCTACTTACTTATGTTTGAATTTTTTGCGACCTAACTAAGCTACAGAAGGGCAGTCATTAAGGCCTCCAATATTTATCGACGAATTAAAATAATTGTTTACGAGTAACTTGAGTAAAAACTAAGATATCTTGATTGGCACACATATTCCTTGATACCGTAAGAAGTTTGGTACTGTATATGGGCGGAATCGTACTACTGCCACGTCCACAAAACGCTATTAATCTAAAACATATAAGGTGCAGTAACTAAGCCGTAAATTAAGATACAGAACTTAAATTTGGCACAACAAATCACATTATGCAGGGGAAACTGGGATTTGGAAATCTTTAAAATGCGGGTATAGCCTGCCCCCTAATAAGTTTAAAGTATAATATATATCTTTTAAACCATTAAAGCTATATCAACTTAATTTGTACAGGACAAATTTATTTAACCCTTCTTACGACAGTGTGAAAATAAGTTAAATCTGATGATATATCCGCCCACTCCTCATATAACAGTTTTGTTCAAAACTACTAAAAGTGCGATAAATCAACAACTAAATGCATCAGAAACATTAAATTTTACATCCAGGATGACACAAGAGGGCTTTATAGGTGGCTGTGCCAAAATTGACATTTTAATCTAACAGTGCGAAGATGGCCGCAATCGGATAATAACCACGCCTACTTCCCATATAAACCAATTTTAAAATCCATCATTTACTTCATATATACGAACTAAAGTATACTTTACCTATCCTTACTTGCTTATAATCATTTCCACGATTTTATGATAAATTGTTGCAGAACCAGATACTTTAGACACAATACAGTTTTATAAACCAAAGAAGATTTACAAGCTAAAAATATATATTATAGTAATTATGTTTATAATATTCAGAAATTTTTATTCTCATTTGAAGTTATATTTTTAACACTAGTACTACGAACCGGTCAAAATCTGCATCATTTGTTTATACCATATTATAGATTATTTGGTTCTTACGCTTCTAATTTTCAGGGAGAGAGAGAAACCTATTCGAAATAGGTATATCTTTGTAAATCTTTGTAGTTCTAGTGTTAATCAAAAGTAGAAGTAATCTTTTGTGTTCTTATCTAACGTTTTTGTGTGATTTTTCTTGTTGATTTCTAGTATTAGTAATATTAAAAAATAAAAACACAAAGTGATTTTTTTTGGAAATTCATAAAACTAGAAGAATAGAACGTAATTATGTGTATATTTACACAAGTGAAAATATGCGGTGGATATAAATGATTATCATATTTAAAATCCCTATATAATCTTTATGTCCTTAACAGATTATGAGTAAATTTAACAAAGTGGGAGTCATCCACGTGTATTTGTCGTAATTTTATATATATGACTGGATGTCCAAAAAACGTAACCAAACGTTTCTTATCACAACTTTACGCTCGAATGCGCTTCCACATCCTTCGTACATTGCGCGGGTATATAGGATTATGCATTAAAATGCATGCATACGAACATACTAACACCTACATATATGGTATACTCGTACGTATGCCCTGTCGAATATGCGAGCTAATTAGTAATAGCAACCAATATTTCTAAACACATCTCCGTGTTTATGCATATATGCTAGTTTACGTATATCAATCAAATGACTCATTAGGGTAAAATATTTTCTTAGTATATTATTAAGCCCATTTCAAATAGTAAATGAAAAATATCTTAGCCCTGCCATAAGTTCTGTTACCAGTCCAAGTCGTTAGAAAAATTAAACTATAATACTTTTTTTTTTAAGTTAATTTTTTTTAGTAATACATGTATTGTTATTATTCAAAATGGTCACTTTTCACACAAGTCCTCACACGAGCAGCAAGCACAGCTTCTATTGGTATTTACGAGGATACTCGAACCCAAGATATTCTTAAACTTACCGACTTTCCGAACCGAAGCAAAAATATGAAGATAAGATAATGTATCATCCTGGATTTCATTTACATTTATTACACTACTCTACAAAAAAATTTTGTTTTTCGTCCTAAAGTTTATTTTATGATTTTCTAGTAAATTATGAACAAAAAAGAAAAGAAAATTACTTTTTGCGGTATAAAGTTTGCTTTTGCAACAGTATAGTAAAAATACTAATATTTCAATTTTTTTTCTTAATTTTAATAATTTTAAATACATTCAAAAATACCGCGCGACCAGAGTTTGGTTTAATTGTTCAAACAGTGCTCTTAGATGGCACTCGAATCATAAACGACGATTAGGTGTTTTGTACAAGTTTAGAATAACTTAAAATGTCGTCGCGAAAGTGTAACTATGATGCTGATGCATTTTGCTATATACTTGTATATGGACAATTTATGAAAGTTCGAGACGTAAAATACGAACTAAATACATCTTACGTTCTCTGCGATGCCTACGAAGCACATTTTGACCGTCCGGTACGGAATCAAGACAAGATATGGGCTCCACAAGTTGATTGTACTTATTGTAAAAGATGTTTGGAAGGTGAGCATATTTTAATTAAACGACGAATTAAATATAATAGACATATAAATTTCTATTTCTCTAATTTAGGTTGGTATCGAGGTGAGAAAAGTCTATGAAATTTGCAATTCCAAGGACCTGGCAAGAAACAAAAGACCACGTTAACGACTGCTACTTTTGCATTGTGAATCCGAGTAAAAGACGTTAAGGTAAAAATCTAAAACATATGGAATATCCTGACCTTGAATCTTCTTCTGCTTCATTCGCATACGACCTGAAACGACCAGTACCTGAGCCACCGAAAAATGATCACAGAAAAGTATCTCATCTCTTAGCTCTTATAAAAAAATTATTTATGGGGTTTATAGAGAGAAAGTACTTACGAAGATAAAAGAAAAAGTAAAAGCGTGCACTTTTAAATTCTTTTCTACTTTTTTGTAACTTATTTTGATAGTAAAACTTAATAAAAATAATAAAATAGTGTATTTAAATTGTTTCAACTTTAATTGATAAATAAAACCACAGTTTTTGAAAAATATCGTTCAATCGATCTCCTAAATACAAAAGCAAACTTTTCCATGCTAAACATTTTTATTTCGTCAATTACGACCTAAAAAATCGAAATTTAAAACTTTAAAGTTTAAGTAAAATTTTGTTTTGACCCGTGTCAAATGGTAAATGAAGTTGGAATATTATATTCAACATTTTGTGGTGTATTACTACGAATAAATCTTATCGGCTGATATTATCGGTACGAATTGAAAAATTCCCCTTTTTTCGAAACCGGAAATTCGTCAAAAGTGCTGACAATTACATGTTTTTACTGCTTTTAAAAATACTTTTTATTTAATAATTTAATCAATTTCCAGATGTCCCTCTTAACTGAGATTCTTTGTTCCTAATTACAGTTTTGTGTCTTCATTTGGAGCTTATTTATAGCACTTTAGAGTTGTTTTTTATTTAATGGTATTTTGTGCTAAGGAATACGTGTACCAATTTTCGTCAAGATATTAGACTGTAACCCGGAATTCAGCTCGTCTCCTCATCTTGATCATTTATATAAACATACGAGTATATACATCTTTATCAATCTCGATTGCTATTAGGTGTAACAAACAACCATTAGGAGAACAAAACGCTTATTATCTGGATCAACATGTTGTGAGAGTATGATGAATAATTTTAGGGAACATACTTCGAGATCTGAGGCTTTGAGTATATTAAAAAGCGAATTAATTTTTATTGTATTGAATTCAATTAAGTTAATTTCCTAGCACAACCAGTGATAAAATCTAAATCACACATAAATTAATTCAATTTCACAATATTTTTACAGAACTCGATGGTCATCACTCAGATGAAACCGGTTCGGGAGAGGGTGAGAATTCCAATGGTGATATGTCGAATGTAGGTGCAAATGATGACGATCAAGCTCGGTTAATACTTAAACGCAAACTACAGAGGAATCGCACTTCGTTCACCAATGAGCAAATTGATAGTTTAGAAAAAGGTATTCTTCCTTCGTAATATTATAAAAACAAAATACTAATAATAAAATATATAAAAATAATTATTTTCGATTCACATATATACAACTGTGTGCAGAATTCGAACGCACCCATTATCCTGATGTTTTTGCGCGTGAGCGGCTGGCTGGTAAAATTGGTTTGCCAGAGGCCCGAATACAGGTTTGGTTTTCTAATCGACGCGCTAAATGGCGACGTGAGGAAAAATTACGTAATCAGCGCCTAACACCCAGCTCAACTGGCGCTGGCTCATCTATATCTGCCACCTCCGTCACAGACAGTCCCAACAGAAGCAGTATGAACGGTAGCGGCGGCGCCACGGTAGTGCCAAGTGGAAGTAAGTATAATAATAGCAATTATAGATTTCTAGAGACTAAGTATACTAAGTGAGTAAAAAAGCACGTCTTTTTTTTGATTATTTCGGCTATGCTACGCCAACAGATGCAGTGATTCCAGATGGCGTAATGTCCACCCCCCCATTAGCTAATAACTCAGTTTCTACAGGTGCTGTAACGGCTGCTGCATCAGTGGCAGTACGTACTTCTATTAGGGTTAGTGGAGCTGGCACCCCTGATCATCTTGGAGGAGGACAGCAGTCATCATCAGGTAGCAGCAACGCCAGCGGTACAAGTATTACAAATTTGGGAGGTGGACATTCCGGTGATCGTAATAATACAGGAATGATGGGACTAAGTCCAGCCGGGAGCTCTGGATGTGCTCCCATTGGACCAGTGCATACATATCATGCGGCGCCACATCATGTACACCCTCATTTAGATGGTTCCATTGTGCCGTCGATATCGCCTCGGCTTAATTTAAATAACGGATTTAGCAGCTCTATGGGGACTATGTACCCAATACATCATCACTCCACGACGGCTATGAGTGAGACCTATAGGTAAGCGTTGTTTGTGTATAAACATATTACTAAAAATTAAATCAGAAATCGACAAGAGAGGAACTATCACCATGTTAGTTAACAAGGCCAAGTTTTACAGGCAGAAAGTCTGCGAATAAAAGAATCACTTTATTATATGATAAATGTGTTTTTTTTTAGGAAAATAAAACTCTGAACAATTTTTTTTTTTTTGAAACCTAGATCAAAATATTCCTTCAATTGTTATTTTATTTCCTATCGCTCATTACAGTTCAATGGCGTCTATGTCATCCTTCACGCATCCCTCAATATCACCGATGCCCGGATCACCAATGTCTCAGCAACGTGATCTAACACCGCCCTCACTGTATCAGTGTCATATGTCGCTTCGTGCTCCCCTTCCACCACCTCCGCATCATCATGCAGTGATTGGGAGTTTCGGAATACCCTCTGCGAGCGGTGGACATGGTAGTAACAGTGCAATGATTGGGAGCGGTAGCACTAGCTCAACTGGTGACACAAATCAGCAGTCGGCATGCAGCGGCTATGATACGACAGTGAGCAGTTATGAACAAACGTTGGGGATGCAACCACCTCCACCGCTACCAACAGATTCTTCAAACAATGTTTCTGCCTTGTCTCAAGTTTCCAGCGACAGCTCGGTATCTACCATAAATTGCAGTAGTGTATCAACTACGACGACAAACCTTAATAACACCACCATATTATCGACTCGTAACTCACCTTGCAGTCCACCGAGCCATCAGCTAGGTATACCCAACGACGGTAGTGGTAGAAGCAGTGAAGCAGCTAGTACCATACACAATTACTCTCAACTGGGATATGGCTATGCAGCGGCCACTGCTGCCTCTGCAGTATGCAATAATAGTGGCGGTCCCACAGTCATGGGCACTGGCCTTTCCTCAACAAGCTCACAAAACCAAGTTGGAAAGCAGCAGCAGTTTTTCGCCTCATGCTTTTATTCACCATGGGTTTAAGAGGAATATACAACATTAGTCATGCCCAACGCTCAAAGTGGTTTTAAATAAGTTTATAAATATATCAATGAGTTGTTCCAATACATAAAGCTCAACCCAAGGTTATTGAGATAATACAATTTTTGAATTCGATCTCTTTAAACAAAAAGGCTATAGAATACTTTTGGCATATTCGAGAAATCAATAAACATATTAATGTACGTATTATTAGAGAAAATGAATACGATGGGGTTTTAGTTTGAAAAATCCATACAGTCGTAATAATAAATAAAATTCTATAGAAAAAACGCAGAAAAAAATTATTATTTCGTATTCGATTATTTTTTATAACTTATAGTTAGGTGTTGTCCTGATAAGTTATGGAGAATTTGAATATAGAAAAAGGTCTTTTTGTTACAATACATGATTTCACGTTTGGAAATGGAAGGAAGTTACCCATTAAACAAGTGCTGCGCAGTATGACACTGTCTGGAATAAAATATTATGGCATATTTCGGGTATAATTCAAAAGTTCCAGGACTTTTTAAACAACGTGGCTTCTAGTGGCGCCATCTGTATGAAATTGTTATCCCTCAATTGTGTATTCTTCAGTGTTGTCGTATAAAATTTATATAACAGCTGACTTGTATAACAGCTGAGATATCGCGCTACATGTGACATTACATTTGTAGTGTCGGTCGGAAAATGAGCATCGAACAAAGAGCCAACATTAAGTTTTGTTTTAAACTTGGTAAAACTTTTACCAAAACTCATCAAATGATGAAACAAGTTTATGGCGATGATTGTCTATCCCGTAGCCGTATTCACGAGTGGTTTAAACGTTTTCAAGAGGAACGGGAGGACTTGGAAGATGACGAACATTCGGGCCGGCCAAAAGATGTTGTGAACGAAAAAAACACGGAAATTGTGCGTGAATTCATTAAAAAAGAGCCGAAATCATCGCTTAAATATATGGAATCGGAATTATCAATATCCGCAGCGTCGATTTATCGTATTTTGACAGAAAATGTGGGCCTCAGAAAGGTTTGTGCTCGATTTGTCCCGCACACTTTGAAACAACACGAAAAAGACCTCAGAATCAGACAGATTTTTTGACCAAAAATCGCATTCATATCATCAACCATTCATCCTATTCGCCTGATATGACACCCTGCGATTTTTATTTGTTCGGAAAACTACATTTGGCCATGAAAGGAAACCATCCAAAAGGCGACGACCGCCATCCTCAACGCTATACCGACAAATGACCTAAAAAAGTCATTCGATAACCTTCTTGAACGTTCAAAACGTTGTATTCGGGCGGAAGGAGACTATTTTGAAGGCGACCAATAATTTTTCCAAAAAAAACAAATAATATTCGTTTTTTAATAAAAGTCCTGAAACTTTTGAATTGCTCCTTGTATGTATACGGTATAAAGTCAACCGGAAGTTTGAAATTCTCATATAATTCTTATCAATTTTCTTATAGAAGTTATGGCTATAGAATATTTTGACCCGATTTTATCCAGTTTTGTTATTACGACAGAAAGAGTAGTTCTCTGAATTCCATTACTTATCTCACAGATTTAAAAATATATACGGTATAAAGTCAACCGGATATTTAAAAATCCATATGAGGCTAATACCACGTTCTAACTAAAAATTTCACAGAAATACACTGTTATTAGAAAGGGATTCTCCCTGAATTTCATTATGACATCTTATATATTGACTGATACAAGTATATGATGTATAAAGTCAACCGAAAGTTCGAAAAATTTTATATTAGATATATGGGGACTAGGGGTTCCCTTGTTTAGCTATTTCAAACTAACTAGGATGCTGTGTTGAGAATGACCAAGATATTTTTGTTTCTATACAACTAAATAAAAATTCAACCAAAATGCCTACCTCCTAGAACACCTGCTAATATAACAATTGGATGCCATAAATTATCATTAAATGTCACTCCTTGTCTTCTGTACTGAGATAATCTATAGAAGAGAGCTTAGCAGACAACTAAACACATCAAGTATACCTAGAAACAAATAAGAACGTTAATTTCCTTCACAAATACAAAAGCTTCCTTACAAGAACTTGATTTTTATCGTACAGTTTGTATTACTGTTATATGATATAGTAGTCCGATCTGTGCAATTTCTTCAGATATTTTAGCGTTGCCTTGGACAATAATCCCTACCAAATTTCGCGAAGAAATAATAATTTTCCATACAAACAATCGTATAGTTTATATGGCAGCTATATGCTGTAGTGATCCGATCTGAACAATTTCTTCGGAGATTGCACCATTGCTTTAGAAAATAACCCACGTTAAATTTTATGAAGAAATCTTGTCAAATAAAAAAGTTTTCCATATAAGCACTGTATTCTGATCGTTCAGTTTGTAATGCAGATTTATGTTTTAGTGGTCCGTTATCGGCGGCTCCGACAAATGAGCACCTTCTCGAAGGAAAGAAGCGAAATTTCAGAACAATATCTGACAAGCTGAAGGACTAGTTCGCGTATAAACCGAAATACAAACAGACGAACAAGGCTAAATCGATTTAGCTCGTCATGCTTATAATTTATGTATATAAATATATGGTACATTTTATAGGGTCACCGAAGTTTCTTTCTAGGTGTTACAAACTTCATGGAGAACTTAATATACCCTGTTCGGGGTATAAAAAGGACACTTTTCCGCATAGTGTTATTATTATTTGTTCTCGTATAAACATATATACATACATATATATACAAGTATAATATATATATATATATATGCAAACAACCTGACACAACTATTCCTCAACAAGCGATGCAAAAACTCAGGGGTGACTAACATCAAAATCAAATGGAAGCAGATAAACGAGCAGTGAAAGGTCGTGAAGCGTGTTAGTCAATGTTCATACAATTCTTTTCATACAGGCAAACTAAGAAATCTGCGACGATGATATTATCAACGTTTCATTATATTTATCTCCGATCATTACAATCAACTTCACTCCGACCACCGTCTACAGGATTCGCACTACTTGATGACAGCAGTCGAAGGAGAGCTGCTTTTGTGAAAGGAAACTATAGCTTAGGGGGGTAATCAGACAATAGGCATTAGCAGTGGATAGTGCGTATCATTCTATAGCACATGTGCTGAAAACGAAACAAGCGGCCAACCGTGTATACAAATATGTATAACATTGTTGAATAAACTTTCAAATGGATTTCGATATAGTTTTCGGACAGTTCTGAAGTGTTTTGTAGTTCATAAATGAGTAGATTCGATTTATTATACCTGAGTTATATTTGGATGCATTCTAAATGATTGTTCTGAATATACATTCCTCTGCCTAATATAATATAGACCTCACTTGTTAATGAAAATAATAAAAAATGTGTTTATATATGTAGCTATAAATAATTGTGGGTTTACGTTTCAAATGCAAATGATTAAAAGTTTGTAGTACTAATTTGATTTAATTTAAATATACCCTTTTTGAATTGAATTGCCAATTATGGTTAAAAAATAGTAAAGAAATATCAAATTATCTTCTTCCCTTGCGGCATTGAAAATATGTGTTAACCTTTGGTATCACGAAGTACTAAATTTTAGAACACACGCAGCCCGATTTAGTTGCATCTAATATCTAACGTTTACTAAACTGCCTATTGTAAATATATTAAATGTATGTATATACAAAAAATATGTGTGTGTAAGAGAATATCGAAAAAGCGAACATACACTTGCATCCCCAGAACTTTTTATTTTATCTTGGGCTAACATTGGTAATCCCATAGTGGTGGAATGGTGTCACTTTGCTGACATGCGTCACCGTGAACTGGCGATAACGTAATCAAGATTTGCAGCACGCGACACAATAAGAGCTAAAGATTTGTAGAAATTTAATTTCAAAACAACATATTGGACGTCATGTTATGCAGTGATGTCCTATTGCTGAGTAATATTTCAACACTGAGTCAAACGAACACATTATTTTTCTGTGATATCCAGATAAGAGCCAGCCAGTTTACCGCTCTTATCCACTTGTTGCAAAGCCTTTTCTATGTGTTATAATAAATAAAGTTGTATGTACTGTTCTTAATATAAGTTTAGCATTAGCATTCGGATGGGTAAACAATAGTAGCGAATAAATTCCAAATGAAATTTGTTTTTGATTTATCTTTATTATGCTTTAATCACTCATGTACACACATCCTCATAAATATAACCAAATTCGATAAAATAGTAAAAAATACCAAAGTATGTCGTAAATCTTCGTATTGTATAGATAATTCAGAATTTTGTTTTCATCCCAAGACAACAATATAAAAATTTACAGTTTATAACTATGACTAAACAAAAAAAAGTATAATCGGAATCGGACAACGCGTTTCAACGCCCAATAAATCCGTCAGTCTAAAACCTTATAGATGATAGCAATTAATTATAAGTCAATAAATCACGAATTAAGATACAAAGCTGTCATTTTGTAAATGGACAGGGCCTTGCCCTCTAACAGGTTTAATGTACATATTTCACAAACCATTAAAGCTATATCAACCAATCTTCCTGAATTTTTTGCATACAGTGTTAAATTGGTTGAAATCGGATAATAACCACGGCCACCCCCCATATAAAGGTTATATTATATTACAAATATTTTTTTATTTTTTCACTTTACAGTATACAAATCGAGAGCCAATGACGTTATCGATGTAGAAATTTGCACAAATAGTACCTTTAAGGTATGCCATCGAAACCGGACCACAACAATCCAGACCCAAAATACGGACACAATTTTCTGTTTTCTATGAAGATTTTTGCGAATGAGTTCGCAAACGCATATATTGGCTGAATTTGTTGGAACCACGCAAGGACGACCACTGCTCTTTCTGTCTTCAACTGTAGAAGTTTGGGAAAAACGATCAATAGTGCGGCAAACAAGCAGTCTTGAAATATTAGGTTAAGTATATCTACTCCTAAGGTTCTGCCGTAAGGTTTATTTTTTTAATTTTTATTTTATTATATTAGGCATATGGAGGCTAAGCGAAGTATTGTAAGGTCTTGATAGAAGAACACATTGTTACTGGAAAAAGTTCCATCTTAAATTCGATGATATTATTATTATGCTGTGGACCGCGAATTAGGTTCAACAGATGCAAGCGGCTTCTTCAGTGGCATGCGGTCCACTTATCATTTTTACAGATGAAAAAATGTTCACGGTTGTAGAATTTTTTAATATCCAAAACGATAAATTCTATGCAAAAACTTCCAAGCCGAAAAAATTTTATTCCAAGGACCACCATTAAATATTCTACCTTT